TGGAATTCTAAAATCCAATTATGTTTAGCAAATCTACTTCATAATGAAGCACTACAACACACTTCCACACAACCATCTATTGCAAACCACTTTGGGAGATGCTATAAGACTTAACATAGAGAAAGGCTTTGACATATGAATGTATGTGTTACTAGGTGTATTTCTCCTTTGTCAACCCAAAACCTAAAGGCGGGAGTTAGACTGATAAGCAGATCGTTGGACTAGCACAAGTGTAGATAATCCTTTATCGAAAAGAGATCATTCAATTTCAGTAATTGCGACATGCTATCAACTCTTGATGAACTTGAAGTGATATGAGATCCCAATGAGATAGTATAGAATAATCATGGAGGGTTTGCAGATGTTCATAATGAGTTCTTTATGGATTTTAACTTTAGAACTACCCAGATGCTAATGAAATACAGAAGAATATGAGAAATAGGCGTTGTGCTATAATAACCCCCAAAGGTGTTCTTGGTCTTGACAGAGAGCCTAGTAAGGGTCCTTACGAGATAGAAAGTGTTACAATGACTCATAGAAGGATATGTTCTCTCATGGTTATCGAACAAGTGTAGGGAAACTGGAACAATGAATTTACTAACTAAAGAACACAATGAACACATGTTATGGAGGTGTAAGGAGAAGGTAAACATTTGCTATGAGATGGACATGTTTCTGCTATATTAACTCCCAACTGCAATATACGACCATGCCATGAGCAACCACAATACTAGGACAAAGTGAGCTACTTACTGTGGCACGTCCCAAGTGGACACGAAAGTTATGGCGACACATGATCTTCCAATGACGTGGATATGAGGATCTCAAATTTTAGAGAGACTTTATGCACATGGTGACCATTTCGATTGACATGCACTCACGTGAGGTGTTAAGGTATGCTCTTATGTTACTAGGCAGTGAAAAGCTTTCATGATGATATTCGCAAGAGAGTAGATTGACTGTTCAAACCATATAAGCCATATACACAACTGAGCAAAAGAGTGACTCGAGCAGGATCGCAACGCTGGGACGCTTTGCATGGAACTTGACACCACATAGGTAAACTTTACGACGGTGCAAGTATAGGCACAAACGAGTAGATTTTGTCCATTTAAATAAAAGATTCTGTAAGAAATTCATCGGATATAGTCCCTTGGTGAGAATTTAGGAAAAGCAAGTGGGAAGTATCAATCTTAGAGTTATAACTCAATTCAAGGGCATAATTATAGAACTTAATTCCACAAGAATGTAAATAAGAGAATTCATAATAGAGTGGATTCACAAATAGTGTGTCTCGTTCAAAGAGTCAAACATGCAATGTTTTGTTATTCAACACCTTGTTAAGACCATGATTATGGGAACTCTTCAATATAGATGTACATATACAATGAGTAGAAATTTTCATTTCACTCCCTTAATGACGTTAGGTTGATAGGGCAATAGCTTAATCGATACCCATCGACTCCACATCCCTAACGTACGTAGGTAACATACTGATATACTATATGATATGATGGTGAAGAGACATCAATAGGAACAAGGACACTCCCCTCTTAGCGATATGTTTTACCAATCCATCCACAGCTTCATACATTCTCCTACAAGTCCTTGGGCAATCCACTCGGACTCAATGGTGGGATCAATCCCTCCTTTCATGCTTCTAATTCGCGGATTATGGTATCAAGGTTACCAATCTTGAGAATAAGACTTAGAGAGGAATTCAGCTCCCTAACTTGAGCTCTATCGCACGATTGGAGTATCAAAGAAGGGTGAAATTCCTAAATGTTCGAATAGCCTCCAACTTATAGATGTGGTTGACAACACACCGATAAGAAGGACTCTACTAGACACGACTCCGAGACATCCTAGAACACTTAAAACCTTAGGCTCTGATACCAAGTTTGTCACGCCCCAAAATTCGAGGAGCGCGACCGGCGCTCAACCGATTAAACCCGACTGAGCAAGCCTGATAGGTTTCATTCTACCCAAACAACTTAATGATTAAATAGGAGATGGACTCCTTTAATCAGATTTAGTAAGTATTTCATTAACAACTTCCATTAGCAACTTAAATCATAATTATCAAAATATTACAAGTTTCATAAATCCTTACCAAACATCAATATTTCTATTTAAATTCCAACACCCGACACTACCCACAACCTGTCTACGGAGCCTCTAAATACAACTGAAGAATAATATGGAAATGCCAGCAACAAGGCTCCGGCTATACCTTACACCAAAAACCAAAACAAGACTCCAAAATAAAAAGCGGCATGAGCCACGCAAGGCCCCTAGAGGAAAAGGGCTCACCAATGCTTCTGGCGGAAAGTGAAGGGGAGCTACGGTAGGTGGACTGAAGTACCTGCTATGGATCCACCTACAATCATAACACGAATGTAGCGCCCCCGGCAAAAGGGACGTCAGCACATTTGAATTGTACTGGTATGTATGAACAAACTTGCCCTAAGTAAACTCAAACCATACACAAGTAACAAGTAGTAATGGAACCAATAATCAAATACACATGAAAGAAAACCATCAAGCCAAACAAGTTACAATCTCTCCATTTCCCCTTCAATATTTTCACATCAATGATTTCACAACTTTCTCATATTTTCATTTCAATAGTAATTTCTATCACTTTTTCACCCTTATTACCTCGGCTACCATTATTACCTCGACCACCCTTATCACCACAACCCACACTTTATTACTTTGTGTTGCGGCGCGCAACCCGATCCCACCGAACAATCACAATTCACAAACAACACAACAACAATAACACCAATTCACAAAGAACAACAACAACAATTCTCAAAGAATTTCTATAGCCATCAATACTATTTCCATCATATTCAACAACTCATATGCATTTTATGTCACCGCGATAATTGCCAATACAAGCCATATATGTTATTACCACAGTTGTTCCAACTGCATCATTTATGATTTCCTTCCATCATTTGTTTCTCAACTCTTACCACATAACACATTCACAATCACACATTTGGTTTATTGCCAATTACGTACACCATTATATCGGGAGACTTAACCACGAACAATCAAATCATACCAATCACAAGAATTC